TACGAATTTGAACTTACCTTCACTTTGTCCAGTTAGCAATAGATATGTTTCATGTATTTCATCAATTCAGGATATATACACTAATTTTATACACGATTATAATGTTATCACAATATAAGCCATAGGAAATAATCATCAGATACTGCTAGACAAATTAACCTCAAAACATTTTCAACATCAAACATTTGTAATAGCTTGAAATTTTCCCTTCTATTACCGAATACCTCTTTACGCCATCTTTGCGTCCCTTTCCCTCTCCTTTCTTTCATCATTGAACACCGGTAAGATTTATCTAAACTAGTAGTAATCTACAGAATATGGCTTTATTGCCATTCGATACAGCGATACTAATTTACATTGTGCATTATAAAACAGAACTTTTTGTGCCCATCTTTATTTTTTAAACACATTTTGCATACAATTGTTCAGATTTCGGGATTAGAAATTAAAGGAAGCCACAATAGTAACAGTTCATCGCAATGACAGTAATTTTATTACTCGAACAACAAAGTTTCAAATTCAAAATCTGAGTGCTTGAAAATTTTAAATCAGTTAAGCCTAAAACTTAACGATACATTCTTTCCTTTCAGTGAAATTGAGAAAACTAAACCATCACTTTTTCCTCTTCTCTCTCGTGCCATCACCTCATTTCAGAAAATTATCACTTAGAATTTTTGAAATAATGAAATGGATTATCCTATTTCACTTATCCCTCTTCCCCTCATCCGCCTTCCTTTCTTGAACATAATTGACTGGGCCTGCTTCGATGAAAAAAGTATAATAAATCTCGACCGTTCACTCGCTTCACTAGTTTTATTGCTGATTTTCCCTTCTTCACACGATAACTTTTAAGACTCACTTTAAATTTGAAACTTTTACAGCAGATCGTCAAAACAACCTGTCAGTTAAACATTTTTCACAACATTTGAAGCGCACTAAATCATAAATTTGGAGGTGCTTTTTCTTTCCTTCCTCTTTAGTTTTAAAAATAAAATTGTTTGGTGGGTGAAAAAGAACTACGGATTTTAAATCACGGTCTCATAATGTTAAAGAAAAAAATAAGTGAGGAGATAACCCGCAGTACAACAATCTAAACTTGACATATAACAGGCAAACTTGTGTATTCTTCAGGTGAGAAAAAGAAAAAGAGGGAGAATGGGGAACCAAAAAAAAAGATCAAAAATAAGCCCGTCGCTTGTAACTGAAACCTTATTTCACAGAAAAAGGAAAAATTAATGAATTCTACGTTACAGGTTTCTAAAATACAAAACACATTTGAGAGGAAAAGAAATAGCACGTAAATAAACAGAGGAAAAATGCAGCACGAATGATGATGGGGTAAATCGTCATGGCAGATCATATATACAGTTCCTAATAAAGGAGTAAAATATATTTAAAAAATTTGCAACAGACAAAGGAAAGAGTTGATTCAAACCTGAAAGGTAAGCAGATCACAACAATCTACTGTCACTTGTCTGTTAATAAAAAAAAAAAATAACGCCTTCAATTTCTGAATCTTCCCATTTTTACCCCAATATTTTGCTGAAGATTTTTCTCGACGAAAAAAAATTAAAAACATGCCTGGAGTTTCTCAAGAAAAAACATGTTCATATTTTCGAAAAAGATATATGTTCCTATTTCTCGAAAAAAAATTCAGATCACAGAAGAGCAATGCAAAAAGTTCACAAATATACTTTGGATAAACTAGACAAGAAACCGAAGACAAGGATAGCGTGTAGCATTTCTGATGAATGACCACGACCCGCAACGAAAACGTCAATTATTAGAATCTGAAATACAAGGGATTCTTAGCATGTAAAATTTTAATTTGGATCTTATTCAATATGAAAATGACAAAAGAATTAGGAAATGCATGGGTCGGTCAAGAAAAGAAAAAGAAAAAGAAAAAACCGGAGTTGCTATTTAAAAGGCATCTTGAAAACAGATGAAAAAGGTGAGCCGATAATAAAAAATGTCGTTTATTTCAAGTTAAACAACATCTGTTCCTTGCAAGCAAGACCATTTCGATGGATAGTTATAAGAGCAATTGTAAGAGTAAGAGTAAACGTCGATTAGCAAAACATGAATAGTTCTTCCTACCATATCTCGCATAACAATATTTCGTTTGACTCAAAATAAAACCTCACGGTCTTGTAGTGATTGGATAGGTAGTTAACGTAAGAAAGTTCAATTCAGTACGTACTTAAACGATGAATTTCCTTCATATAGATATAATTAAAAATACCAATTAAAAACGGAAGATATTTTCCAAAACATAAAATGTAGTCAAAGTCAAACAACTTCCAACACTGACCGTTTGCTTGGACCGAACTGTTTTGAGGAGTACCACCAGGCTGAAAAGGTTGATGCTGATGTGGTGGCCCGTTGGCCCCATTGTTTACCGAACTGTGGCGTATTGATCCCGCACTCCCTGCTTGTTGTTGCTGCGATGGTGGTGGCTGCTGTTGCTGCTGGAACACTCCTTGTTGTTGTTGGGCTGGAAAAAATAAAGTGAAATTGTAGAAAATCTAGAATTCGGTAAAATCGAGATAATCCGACAAAAACGAATAATATGAACAAAAAACAATTTCTCTTCCCTTTTTTATGGTCATTGCATGTACGGGATCAGTCACCCCAATTCGGCACCTAATATATTTTCGACAGACCTTAAGTTTCGCTTGTTTTGCCAAAAATAGTACACACTCTTTCACTTTTAAATCTTTACCACCCTTAATCCACTTTGAGAAAAGAAGAAATTAAACAACTTGCCGTGCATGTAATGACCATAAAATTGATCACCAGCAACATAAGATTGATGAGACATAGTACTCGATATCTGCGGTTGTTGCAAAGCAGCCGATTCAACAGCTGTTCCTTGGAATTGTTCGTACACATTCGGCTGAAATATCAAAAATGTTATCAAGTGCTCTACGGTTATTTTTCATTAAACATTTACCTACTTTGATAAGGATTCTAATCACTCCGATAACAAAGAAAATGAGAACCATTATAACACCTGAACAGAGAGCTGACCATTCATGCAAACAGGAGCCCAGGATCCTGTTCAACAAAAATATTGATCAAGAGCAAAATTCAGGCTGTAACTCTGATTAAGGTGAAATCATCACAAAAAACAAGGCGAAATCCTTACTTGTGCATGCGATTGATGTGCTTGTGAAAATGGAACATGCGCTGCCGGTGCTGCGATAGATGGATGAACAACAACTGGTTGTGGACCATACGCCATCACAAAGCCTGGTTGTCCAGACGTAATGAACGGAAACTGCTGCAACGAATAAATCATCGATGGCTTTCTTTATTTGAATAGATTTACTTGGTTAAACGCTTTTCAGTTGAACAAAGGAAACAAAGTGAATAATATTTGTAATGTTCGAACATTTTGTAATCGAAAAATTTACACCTGACAAAACCAGTCCACACGAGATCAAGTGAGTTTATTCACTTACATGTAATTGCGCATGTGAGTAATTACAGTCATATGTCTTCACTGATACAAATAACGGATGACATGCAAGTGGAATCTTAATCTATGAAGCCCGCTATCAATAAATATACTGTTGCATCAATTAATCAATCATTTTTCTCAGATCAAGCAGTGTATCAACATATTTCTCATTCAAACGTGAGTTTGAAGCAATGATCAGAACACTAAATGCCATTGTGAGCGTTGCCTTCAAGTTCGTTTGGGATGCTCATCCCTGATCAACAAATCGAATATTTCCGCCTTTCCTTTGAAGTAGCGCACAATTTCTGATCTGCCCATATACGTCAGTTTTAACGTACACTGTTGACTTCCACAAAACCCACTTACGCTCCATTTGAATCGTGTCATTTGTCATCATGACCTTTTGAAATGCACAATCTTTAAAGTCCGCAAATTTAAATTAATGAACCAAAAGAGCGAAAGGTAAACATACAAGCAAACAACAAACCGGTGCTTGGACGTACATGTGCGGCTGTGCGTTTGGTGGAGCTGCACCAGGTGGAAGTGGAACAAGTACAGTATGAGGCGATTGCGGCGTTCCGGATTGTGGATACTGTGATATTGATACCGGTTGCTGTTGTTGTACCTATTTGAACGGTGCAAAGTGAACAAAAGCGGACTAAATTAGGATAAGTTATCAAGTGGATAAACAAACATTGTTACATTCAGTGCATTTGACACAAATTCACATACATGTACATGCGCATATATCTGTAAATATACACTGACACACACGACGCACACACATATATATGTATATATATACATATACATATATATATATACGCACACATACATATACACACACACACACATACACACACAGATACACACAAAGCATGCGCCGTTCACATTTACTCGACCTTTGGATAATTTTGATTTTTGCATCATTTTTGAAATGCATATGACTCATAGAGGGTTGTAGCGATAGTAAACAATCGTGCCACTCCTGGTTCATTAACTAACTAATCAACAGTATAAGACTTTTCATACTTGAAATGATGGATGACTCTGACCGTATTGATGGCTTATCACCAAAAAAGGTTCAGATCAAAGATCAATGATGGATTACAACACACTGCTGCTATAGTGGTTGAAATGCAGTTGAAATGCTCTAATAGTCAACAAATAATAAATGATGTGAGATATCACTTAAAATCATTTTTATCAAACAAATTCCTACTTTCTAGAAATTACTTCCATAACTTGCATTACTGGAAGGCTACTTAATATCCAAAACTTACGAATAGTTTGCTTACTTATGGTTGCCAAAACTGCATAAACGTGAACACCTATGATACAATGGAGCGATAACCTCAAGAAATTTTTATATCGTTGAGGTTTTATAGAAGTATCACTCCACTGCTTATGAAGAATTGCGAAAAGTAAATTTTTTCATCACATCGAAAAACTCAGAATCACTTATAAAAGGAAAACATTTTGATCAAATGACATACTCCGTTACAATGTCATGACATTTCCTCACCTGGGCGGGTGAAACCACAGGTCCAGGTGTAGCAGGTTGACTATTAGGTCCATTTGAACCTGTTCCATTACTCGACGCAGCACTTGATCCCTGCTGCGGTTGCTGCTGTGTCGACACTGCTGCTGCTGCTACAAATAATAATAATCTGTTTTCTACGCAAGTAAAAACTCGAAAATTTCCATTATAGGGAAATCCTCCCGAAAAATTTCGTAATTTCTTGATTAGTAAATTAATGACTAGCGAGTTTGAACACATTAGTTTTGAATCGGATGGAGAATAAAAGGTTAATTACTGACATATTCCCTACACTTACCGGTATAATCAACAGCTGGATGAGATTGCGGCAAACGAGATATCATGTAATTCTGAAAAATACATTGTAAACACTAACTGTTGCTAAAAGCAATCAAAATTTAAATGGAATGAAAATATCCTCTCACATAAATCGGCCTTGATTCATATTGCGATGTGCGAACACTGGACAATATCACCTACAACGTAACTATGTTCGTAATTCTTTTGGCATCTTCACTAAAGACTTACCGTTGCTGTGACACATAGAAAAATGGTCACAAGAACTATTTTTTAGAGAATCGAACTATACAATTATTCTTGAATAATGATTATACAATTAAATGATTATTTCATCTTCATATTCATATTAATGTAGCCAACAAAACATACGACAG